GCCCGCGGGTCACGGAGCCTGAACCGCTGAGGGTGGAAATGACCTGAGGTCATCGTGACCAGTCACCACCGTGTTAGCCAGACCACGTCCGGTCTTTCCTTAAACGCCTCCATCACCCTGGGTAGCCCATTCCTATGTCTGATCACACTTTCTGTGAAGAAGTTCCTCCTCACGTCAACCTTAAATTCCCTTGGCGTAGCTTAACACAGTGTCCTCTTGTCCTGTCGCTTGTTGCCTGGGGGAAAAGCCCGATCTCTACGTGACTCCGGTTTCCTTTCAGGTACTTGTAGAGAGTGATAAGGTCCCTCCTGAGCCTCCGCCAGGTTTAACACCCCAAACTCTTCTCAAACACGCCCCAGACCCTTTCCCAGCTCCGCAGCCTCCTCTGGACACACTGCACTGTTACTAGAGGAAATCCTGGCACGCTCTGGCTGGGGTATATCACACCTCAATATCCCTCCTGAACTGGGGGGCCCAGAACCGCACAGAGCCCTTGAGGCGCGGTGTCAGCAGTGCCGAGTCCGGGGGTACGATGCTCCCCGGTCCCGCTGCCCGCCCCGATCCCGCACCCGCCGGGTCCCGCCGTCCCTCCCGCCCTCCGCCAGGGGGCGCGCGCGGCGGGCGGGCCGGCGTGGGCCGGCCTGAGGGGGCGGCTGAGGGAGCGCGGCGGCTGCCGAGGGTCCGATGCTTCCCTTCAGTCCCTTTCGCTGCCCTGCACCGACCCGCCCTGGCCAAATCCCCCCTTGTCTTGTGCCTAAAAAGTCTGAATGAGGGAGACGGGACGTCTCCGTGTAAGGAGCCGCGGGAGGTCAGGAGGAGGCGGGCGAGTAGCGGCCCCTCGAAGGCCTCAGCAGAGCGTCCAGAACCTCCGCGGGGCTCCTGGAAGGGCTCTGTCTTGGCTACCCTCAGAAAACTGCTCCAGTATTTGTAGCTTCTCAGGCTCCAGGTATTGGGGATTTGGGGATATGTGCTAATTAATTACAACAGCTAAGAAAATTGTGGAACAGAGCTACATCCTATAATTATTTCTGTAGTGGTGTCCCAAGCTGTGATGTGTGACACTGTCGAGGAAGCAGTGAGGGCTCATTGAAAAGATCTGGTAGGAGAATTAACTGAGGAGAAAGGAATGAGAGGAATAAGGGAAAAGATGTGAGGTAGATATCTGAATGTGAGATGGGAGAAAGAGTTTCGCCGAGGTTCTTGGAGCCAAGTCACATAGGAGTGCTGAGACAGTATAGATTAAGTGGGAACTCATTGCTAATTCAGAGTGGAAACATCTTTAATGACCTTCATTCTAGACACAGAAAACAATGATAAAGCCAGTGGAAATCCTGTCCCGGGTGATAAACTTCTGCCCTCTGAAACAGATGCCTGTTCTGCTGCTCTCTCCCCTTGGCTATTAACTCCTCTCCTTCACCTGTGATCATGTTTTTGGGTCGTGTTTTTTTCTAAGAACTGCAAAATGTGAGTTGCCTGGGGAGAAAAATGTGCGAAGCCCAGTTTGGACTTCTAAGAGACCTTTTTTCTTGGGCCAGGATCAAAGGGACTGGGGGCAGTTTTGAAGCTAATGCAGATAGAAGCAATTTCTCGATGAGATGGCTGCATTGCATTGATCTTTGCCATATTGCTCTGTGTTTTAGTATCCAAATGGGGATCTAACTGTAATCTGTTCCACTTGTCAATACAATGAGCTCCTAGGTGATAAGCTAGTCTCACATTTTTGAACAATATTAAAGTTCATGAAGATTCCCATTGATTTTCTTTTTGGAGTGAGATTCCAGTTTAGGCTTACAGTGTGCCTGCCAGGTTCGTTTCCCTGCTGCCCCTGTGCTTGTGGTGGCATCCCCCATGCTGCCTTCCGACAGGGCTCGGGTTGCCCTGTGCTGCTCAGGTTGCTTTTATCCATCCCCTCCTTTATTTCCTTCTTGCAGAGGCACGCTGGGCTCTGACAAGCAGAGCATGTGAGTGCACTGTGCCCTGTAATCCAATAGGACATGTGCACTGTGCATGCTACAGGCTGGGCCCTGTGTACAGCACAGGCTCTGCTTTCGCTCCAGAAGGCTGATGAGGAGAGACGTGGTGCAGAGAGCAGAGTTGTGAGATAACCCTATGCTGTTTCACCCAGGGTATTGCCTTAGCTCACTGTTGTTGTTTGGAGGATGCCCAGAGCACACCTGGGTCCCCACAGCTCCCTGCACAGTCACTGTCTGTGTTAGTACAAGGTGTGCAAGTGCAGTCAGGCATCCTGGTGTGCTGAGCTGACAGCACAGCGCTGAAAGGTTACAACATCTTCACCTTTGTTTTCCCATCTCCTCACTCTCATCCTCTGCCAGCTCTGCTGTGTGCATTCCAGTATCAGGATTCAAGGAACTGTTGCAAGTGATGGTGAGTTATACACTCAAGGTGGGAAAGAAGTGTCTCCTAAGAAAAGATCTGAAAGAGAAAAAAATAAGAAAATGCTATTTAAATGGAAGAGTGGGTCAAGAGACCTGCCAGGAGAGAGGCTGGATGTCTCTCCTGCAGACTGGGAGAGAAAATGGCCTTGGGATATCTTATCAAATAGAGGTTATGGAGGACAGAGCATGCAAGGACAGGGGAAATAACATGTACTGTCTATACACATTAGAGACAATTTGTAAAGCGGTTTAAGAACCTTTGATAGAAGATTCTCCATCAGTTCATCAGGAATTGTCCAATGAAATGGTCCTGCTAGGGAGGTGCAGGAGGAATGTGAGGTCTCCTTTTCCCAACTGCTGTTTCTTATTTGTGGTAGTGGGCTTGCAGAGGAGCTAGAACCAATCAGTCTGGGTTGGTTTTATTACCATTTTAGTTCATTATTTGACATTTTACTACAGGCTTGAAGGTTTAGATCCTCACTATGGATTTACACACCATCTGTATCTCCTGGTGGCAGGTCAGAATGCATTTGTATGGAATTAATTGTGCTAATAATCTGCAGAAGACTGTGATGAATGTATGTTTTCTTGTGTGCAGCCAGCTCCTAGGGTTTGTTTGTATTTGCTGTAATTAAAATTGCTAGTAAATTTATTCAATAACACACAGACACATATTTTAGTGAATCCTTGCACTCTTTTTCAGTAGAATGCATCCATTTTATAGATGAGGAAGCTAAGGTACAGTGGGAATAAACAGGTTCTTCATGGCAAATAGCTGTCAGTCTGGAGATAGGGATCAAGGACATCAAGTGAGTAGAAAGAACTGGCACATCAGCACACACTGTGTTGGAGTGTAGGTCTCGTGTGTTGCTTGTGCATGAAGTAGCCAAGTAATTACATTCTGGAGTAAAATGAGGATGCATTGTGATACTCTGTCCTTGTGATACCACAATTATATCTTCCCTGTGTAGCCAAAATAATGATTTTTGCTTCTCCCTGGAAGCACAGAACTGAATTTTCCATCAGGTGTGGTAACAGAGCAGGGGGAGACAACTGCATTTTGTTCCACTGTGTGCACATTGCATCCCCAGATAACCTCAGTGCTGAAAATACAAAACAATCTGGCTAAAATTAAAACTGCTTCTTAAATCCTGTCTGATGTTGCCTGAAGCTTTTTGTTCAGTTTATCTTCACAAGGTCACTGAGACAGAAGAGTGCATTCTCTGAGCATGCTGGCCTGGAGCTTTTCATGCAGATGCTTTCATTTAACATTTGGGACAATCTCCTTCTCCCTTAGGTCTCTTCCTTTGTACTCCCCCTCATTTTCTCTCCTCTCTACTCCTCTCCTTTGAGTTCAGGTTCCCTCAGATCAATACACATAAGGCTAAGAGCTATCCCTCTTTTTTATCACCCTAACATGCAATCATTCATGATAAGCTTTCTGTACACCCAAGCTGTCATGGGTCAGAGCCTGCTGCTCTGTCAGAGCTGCCCCATGAGCTGCCCTGTGTGCTGCCAGCAGCACTGCCCTCATCTTTGCCACGTGGAGTAACTGTCCTGCAAAACCATGTGTTTGAAGCCAATTCTGTTGCAGCCTCTTTCAGTGCTGGCAGTGCAATCTTGGACTGCTTGCTTAAGTTCAAAATAGTAAATTCACATTTCTTTGATTTTTTGTTAATAGTCAGGAACAGGATGTGCTTTGAGAGACACCCCATGTGTTTAAAAGGTGAGCTTCCATTAAGATATTGGAAATTGGAAGCCACATTGGAAGACTGAAATCAAATATTAAGATCTGATAAAGGGCATTAAGTGTCTGTGAGTTTGGCATGTGCTGCCTAGCATGAGCACAGCATCAGGAGTCTCCCTGTGCAGCAAAAACCAGTGTGAGAGAAGAGCAGTACAAGAAGGTGATGTGCCAAGGGAGAAGCTGGACCTGGAATTCTGGGTTTCATTTTCTCCAGCTCTGCAATGGGGATAATTGCAAATACCTTATTCATAGATATATGTTAAAAATAAGTAAACTATCCACTTGAATGTTACTATT